GACAGAAAACAAGGGACCTAAGGAAGTGCAAACCCAATCCCAAGCCTGCTCTCTATCGTGTGGGCAGAAACCAGTTTAGGGACAACATGGGGAACTTCTGTTCTGACCCAACCAGCCTTCTGCTATTGCTCAGCCTCACAGGGGAACGGCTGGACTCTCCCCATTCTCTTTACTGTGATGCCCCGCTTATTGCACAGGGTGGAAATGTGCCTATGCATACTTTTGAAACCATTCTCTTCTCCTGAAGCTACCAAAGCATTCCTCTACTTGTTCAGCATCTTACACCACTATCACATGCCACCATAGTCATTACAAAATCCCACAAAAGAGACCTGCCCATGTACCTCAGCTCCCTGTCTCTAGTTATTGCCTCTGAAGGTCCAACCAAATCTCTCTCTTTATAAAACACCTGTTAATTTGTGAGACTTACAGATTTGAGAAATTATCTTATTGCTAAAGCCAGTGACAAAAAAAACGCATGAGCTCACTATAGCCGCAGAAAGTCTAAGAGCTTTAGGTTTTGCCCAGCACCAAGACAAAGAAGGAAATCCTGGCCCCACTGAGTGCCAGAGGAGCCAGAACATCACCTTGAGCATGGTCAGTCCAAGATTTTTATCTTTCCTTGCAGGTCCTGGGCCAGCGGAGCAGCACAGTCTGTGCCAGCCCTCCCACAGAGGCTGTGTGTACAAAAGCAGGACTCGCTGGCACACACAGTCTGCAGGGCGAAATCTGCCTGACCCTGACATTATATAGTCTTAGCAACGTCCAAGTGTCTCATCTCAGAACCGGACGTGTCTAATGAAAAAGACAAAAGGTTCCCAGGATAGTAGGTTTGTTTTCCCTCCTTAAAAAAACAACCAACCAAACAAAAAACCCCTTATTTTTCAAGTCTACTCATTTGAGACCTATGTCCTCCTGTCCTGCCTGTTCCTTCCCTCCTCACTGGCTACCAGAGCCTTTTCTCCAGACACACAATACATTTGGTCTATAAAGAGAGCATTCTCCATGTACAGCTGTGTTGGAGTAACTCTCAGAGGCTCTGAAGCGCAGCCAACATGCAGAAATATAAAACCCAAGAGGACTGAGTCTTGTTTTACCTGAGACGGGTTTATCTTACACACAGCACTGTTCTCTGAGGGAGCTGACCATTTTCACTCACACAAATAAGAAGCAGGCATTTTTGACAAAGATGTTTCTGGACTCAAACCTAACCAGAGGCTCTTGATTTTGTGGGTTTTTTTTAAACTCCATTTTGTTGGAAAAAAACGGATGCCCTGTATTTCTGCAATATCCCACAACAGAAATTAAAGTCTTTTTTCTTAGTTAGGTCTAAAAGAGAAAAATTATGGATTAAAACGCAACATGAAACAAATGATAAATTATTTATGTGCTGTTGGTAGGTACTCGGATATGATGATTAGAAGTGCTGAATAAAATGCCTGAACAGAGCAGAACAGAAGATCACACAGAAGGGATGAACTCCACAGTGCTGCAGTCATCTGAGTGGAGACTCACACCCCTGGCAGCAGGGTGAAAGCAAGGGAGCTGCGCCAGACTCCCTGTAACCCACCAAAATTTCATGCCAAATACACAGGCCCTGTAATTTGAAATTCCCACAATGAAAAACACACATATAGTATTTCCAAAGCAAGTTACAGAGGCACCCTGGAAATTCCAGGGCAGCATACAAGGGGACTGTATCTTACAACGTTATTCCAAAACTTGAACTAATATGGAAAGCAGTGTGCTCGGCTGGCATTTGGGAAGCACACCACAACTATGTTCTGCTGCATTTCTTCATGGCCAGCTGGCTTTGAGATGGGATCAGAAGTATTAGCCCCACCTAAAAGAACCTAAACCTGATCAAACTGCCACAGTGGTAAGCGGCCATGGTGCTCTCTGAGGGTTGGTGAGGTAGAGAGTGAATGAAATTTGAAATGCCCCTTCTGTTCCTGAACTCTGAGAAGACTTCAAAATTGTTTTAGCTGTAAGACTTGGGCTATAAAGACAGAGAAGCACTACACTAACTCACCCTAATAGAGAATTACAATGTCTGTCCTGAAGTCTGATACATCATAGCACAGTTTCCTTCTCCCCTTTGGTTTGTATCAATAATCTGTGCCTAAATCAAAATATGGAAAAATGAAAAATTGTGAAGGGAAAGGACATTAAGCATGCAATATAGCAGTGGATGCTACCCACATCAAAAAAAAAGGAGTTTTCTTTTTTACTGAAATCACCATTTCTTTACTGTGTTTCTTGAGTCACTGTGATCTAAGAAATGAGTCTATTGACTGTTTCTAAATTGTGTGTTCACCTGAGTCACTGGCAGCAAAGCCAGTATTTGAAGCCGTATCTATTCCTTGCTAATTACTGCAATACCCCCTTTTCCAGCACACACAGTGTAAGTAACCTTATAGTTCAGTAATCTATACAACGGTCTCTCTTCTTCTTCTAACTTAGTCTGGTGCATGATATGCAAGTTTACTCTCACATAGGACAGCTGGTCTACATTCACAGACAGAAGAAAACTCTGCATGTAAACTATGTGGCTGAAGCCTGCTGGAAGCATAAAGAATAACCATAGCAGCTTGGAGCAAAGCAGATAGAGAAAATGGGATATAGAAACACTGATTTGCTGCCTACAACAAGCCTTTATTAGGGTTCTTTAAGTTTAACACCCTACTGCTGGCTGCAGCCAGCACATATGTGAAGGAAAAGGAAACTCTTCTTCCATGTGCGTTGCTAGCTGTCCTTTACAGTGGAGAGATATTTTTTCTCATTTTTATGGTGATTAGCTTGTTCGGGGAATTATAAGACTGAGTCTATCATCCGTCAGCTTATGTAACTTTCTACTAATGGTTTTAAAAATGACACAGCCACTGCACTTGTTCTGTTCTCCTTTGTGAGATGATCCACACACATCATACACAACTGCTCCCACATATACTTTCTCAAGTAAAACCATTAACACAGTGCAGAATAGTCCCTCAGACATTATCTAACCAACAGCTTCAGTAAATTCTTCTGTGTTCAGGCTGCGCGCCGTTTGTCTCTTGTCCTCTGCACTCCTACCTCTTCTTAATTACTGTCTCTTCATGCACCCGTGAGAAGCCCTAGCCTGAATCGTACTCCTATTGATGCTACTGGCCACATCCAGCCTGTTGATGGGACCATAATGTTTTTTTCTCCTTTGTTGTACTGTCAGGGCAAATTTTTTTTTTTTTTTTTTAAGAGCTTCATTCAGAAAAACAAAACGTATTCTGCTTTCACTGCCTGGCTTTGATGTGACAAACCTTGAGCGCTCTCCCTGTGCCGAGCCAAAGTGACTGGAGCCTGCAAGACTGATTTTTGCCATTTTCTACTCTTGGTTCCACAGTCAGAAGACTATATTGCAACTGGTCCGTGGAACAAACTAACCCAGTTTTGTTTCTCTTCAGATCTGCACTGACCTCTTTAGATTAAACATGAGGTCTCATCCTAAGTGACTCACTCCTGTAGCTAGCTAAATTCAAACTGTCTTCTTTAAAGCCTCTAATCTAAACAATAAATTTCATTGTCACAGCTACGTGGACATTAGTTAAAACAACTTTACATTCTGAAAACAGCTACACGATGTTGCTGTTTTATGTGGTTTTGGCAAGAACACTGCACTTTTTCCTCTTTAAGCACTGCCACCTCTTGCTCCCAAACACGGCTGCTGCACTAACAATTAGCAGGTCAGGCCAGTATCGCTGCCGAAGAGTTTACAGAAAGCCATTCCAAGACACTGGCAGGGAAACAGATTCCTAATAAGGCAGCCAAAGCTACCCTGTGCAATGGGACGATACCCAGACACCGCATCAGACCAAGCTCATGAAGTTCCTACGGAATCCTCTGCAAAACGCAGCTCAGTTCTGTGAAAGCTCTTGATGTATTTCATGCTCCTCCTGCCTGTGGACTCCCCTTTATATTTGACTCCCTGAAGCCTCTAGATGCAAACTGTGGGCTCGTCCCTCCAGAACAACCCAAGCTACTGACACACCGCAAGAAGATAAGCTATTGTCCCAACCAAGCACACAAGGACCAAGGAGAACATAAGCCCTCCTCCCTCAATAGAAGGAGCAAGGGGCAAGGAAGATCATCACCAGTTTCCATCCTTCCCAGTACCTCTGCCCAGTTTGGGTCTCAGTGCCAAGCTTTCTCAGAAGTCCAGCACCCTTAACAAGAAGAAAACTACTCTCTCTCCAGCTCCTCTCTTGTAAATACTATATTTTGCTACAATGCTTTTAACGATCTGCAATAATTTTCTGTGCTTCCAAGCCAGGATATCAAAGCACCTGAAAAACCCTGACTTTCCTTCATCTTTTGCAGTGAGTTAAAGGAAAAAACAGAGGGACAGAGAAATTACATGACTTTGAATCCAGCTCTGTGCTCAAAAAGCTAAACCCTGACTCTGTCCATGATAAACACAGCAACCAGCTGGTGGGAGAACAGCACCATCATTCTGAAAGACTGCGCTACTAAAATATCATCCAATTGACACCTTCTTTAAATGACCTTCGAAATAGCGTACACGCAGCCAATCAAAATAGCTTGTCAGCGATGCACTGAGAGTCTCTCCCTGTCTACAAACCCAGGCTCAACCAGTTTTCTCTGTATCATTTGCAACTGCCTGTTACCTTGAAGAGTGAAACGCTAAAAAAATTAAAATAAAGTAAAAAAAGCACCACAACACAAGATGGTTCCCACTCTAATCAGTAAAAATAGCTAGGGTAGCAGATAAGATTTCTGGCATGCTGGGGAGTAAAATTTAGACTGCATGCCACATATCAGTGGTTAGATGTTCTCTGTTATTTTTCAGATATTCAGGCAAATGATGTTCACATGCACAGGTAGGTTGGTACATACTTAGTGATTCTTGGCTGTGCCCATAATTGTGATAATCAAGTTAGATAAGTTACCATGGAAAGCCTTTGCAAAATGTATAACCTACATTTCTATCATTAAAGAGGACTTACCTTTAAGGACTCCCAGAGGGGAAATTGTACCAGAGAGAAAGGAATCTGGAGAGATGGGAAAAGAAAAAACAACAACAACAAAGTTACAAAAGCAAATTAGGTTGGCATGTTCCTCGACTGGCTAAATTAGGAACAGTTATTGTTCACTCAGTGAACTGCAGCTTATTACATTTACAAATCTTTAAGGACACTTTATGCACGCTGCCATTAAATGACTGGTTTCACTAAAGCAGTTTTACTTTGTTTATCACATTCCCTGCTGAGAGGTTAATGTATTGTTACCAGGGTGGCCTAGTAGAGCAATAAGCAGTATGATCTAGTACAGGGACATTCTTGGTTTGATGCTCAGCCAAGAAAGCCATAAGGATGGCTCAAAAAGCATGCTCCTAAGGCCAGGAACACAGCCTGGCAAAAAAACATCTTCAGCAATACACACTCTCACAAATGCTGAGCTGAAAACAGTTGTGCTTCAACCAGGGCTTTGCAGTTTGGGCATAAGCTGCAGAGAGAAACTTTTCTGAACACCTCCCAGTGATCTCACATTAACAAGCTCCCTAGTGAATTAAAAGCAGGTTGTGAAGAGCTACCACAACCCAACCAAAACCCAGGGGAGATGCTTGGTGGTTCCCTTCTCATCACCTACAACAAGAGGTTCTTCTGTTCAGCAACAGTCTGTATCTCTACCTGGGCTTATTCCTGCTGCCGTGTGTCCTCAGCAGTGCCTGTGCATTTCCAGCTCCTTTACAGATTTTGCCTTGATAAACACCTCATGACCAACTCTCTTAACACACGGGGAAAAAAGCCAACATACATCTCCGTCAGCTCTGTAGGCTGTGCAGGGCTAACACGTGTAATAAATCAGTTTTCACCGTGAACAGAGTGATTCTTTGCAACAAGAGACATCACTTTCCAAGGTTATGCCTTCCCTTATAGTTTCTTCCTCCTCCAATCTCTCCACTAAGTTCTTCTGGCTCTTCCTCCTCCTTCACCACTCTGACAAGTCCTGTCCAATATCCACCTCTGGTACCAACCCTGCCTTTGCTATCTCCTGCCTGGGTATCTATCTCAAGACATCTTGGAGGAAGGAGTCCCTCTGAAAACACTAGCCTGTGCCAGAATTGCCCTACAGCCGCATCTGCAGGTCTACTTTGCCCCTTCCTAAATGCTTCTGCAGTTACCTCCTCCACTTCAACAGCCACTCAGCCGCACTTTCAAATCTTCTTCCAAGTTATCTATTTTCTTCTCCTACTGTTATCTTCCTTCCCCACGCATGATGCATGTCGGATCAGTTTTCCCCCTTACGTGGGCTGATTTTGTAGTCTGCGCATCATTTTATTAGTCTCAGAAAGCACTTATGCACCTTTTGCCATAAAAAGTAGTACACACTCAAAATGGGTCACACTAATACATAAATCTTTGCTCTTTGTAACATGAGTAACGTCAGGTTAAAAACATTCACTACAGAGATATGAACAGCTTATTACATCCAAATTCAAGCTACACAAAGGAATCTGAAATGGTACATCCATTCAACATCACAAGAGTTAAAAAGTACTGTCTGCTTCACCGTGTCGCAACTAATGATTAATAAATGAGTCTATTAAGTTAATCTGCCAGGCAAAACTAAGCTTGACAGACACCTGTCACAGGAAATTTGTTATCTATTCAGGCAGGAAATGGCAGTGAGAAGAAATCAATGTCACTGCTGTACATTGAGCTGACAAACTGAAATCTCAGAGGAAGTTTGTCATCTTGAACAATGAGCAATATCCCTGGTGGCATCTCAGAGCCCCACAAAAAAGGTCAGACATGGCTCTTATTTATCAGGGCCTTGAAACTCTAGTGTAGCAATTAAATTTTGTTTTTAATACTGGGTGAAAAAGTCCAGCTATTTGACAGTAATGTGTGGTAATATATTTATGAGAAGATAAATATATCCACATGCTGCTGCATCATTGTTGAATTGGAGTTAAACGGCATGATTTCTTTGCAATGTAAAATGAAAAGCAACATAATCTTCTATTATCTAGGCCAGAAAATAGAAAAAAAAAGAAACAATACCCACTACATTTGCTTCAAATTTGTTAAAAGAGAGAAAAGGAAACGCTCTGTATCCAGCTGCACACCAAACAAAACAAGCTTTCAAATACAGTCTCCAAGTTTTGCTTTTTTATACGCGCGAATGAGTGGTAAAATTATGCAGCTGTTAATAAGACAACAACAAGGGAAGCTTTTGACATAAACCCCTTTTTATCTCCTAGCTAGAAGCATTTCAATCAAAGAGGCAATTTGTTCACGACTGCTGTTTGATTTTCAGTGTTAGTGGTGTTTGCTTTCTGCGTCCCGCTCAGCGGGGACCAGAACTGGATAGGGATTATCAGTTTCACTTTTCCCCGTGCGTCCCATGAGATGCTGCAATGTGCAGGCTACCAAAATGCCTGGGAAGATTTCGGATGTATGTTAGTGGGATCTGCACAGCCGCTGGGCTCCCTCCTCTCTAAGATGCCTGCAGGATAAGGGCCTAAACATTCAGAAGTCACACTTTAATAGAGTTTGAAAACTTGCAAAAACCAAACAAACTAGGAAGCACCACCAACAAAAACAAGCAGCGCAGCACCTTTGCCTGCACTAAGATCCTAATGAGATGTCCTCTATTTCTTACAGTCATCCATTGGAGCCTGTTTGACAACGTCCTGACTTAAAAACAAAACCCACACAAGCAATTTCATGGGTACTGGAATGAAAGGGAGTCTGGCTTCCTGTGGATTTGGTTTTTGTCATCAGATTATCTGAAGCCAAATAATTTCCAAACCGGGTTCAGCGATCTTCCCGCAACAGGAACCTCCATCACATTTCCTCTCGACATCTATTCCACAGCCCCTGTTGCAAGTTCAGTTCCTATTGCAAGCCTTCCCCCAAACCCCTTAATAGCCTTTATTCTCCTCTTACATATTCTCAAGAAACTTATAGGAACTTCTATTTATCTTTGCAGCCTCTGCCTTTCCACCACATTTCCATGGCCAACATGTCCAAGGGCTGCGCAGGCTGCTGTGTGTTCTGTTCATGTGTGCATACACCCTGTTTGCATAAGCCTTGTTTCCCTAAGAGACCAGGCTAAACAGCCCACGCCCAAAAGTAGTATTAATATATGCAAAAAGAAATAGCTTTGCAAGGGTAACTCATCCAACAATGAAAAAGCCTTTAGATGGCTTATTGCCCTTTATTCCTCTACCACGACAGACACGACAAAATCTCGCAGTCTGGGGATGCTTCTTAATTTGAAGATTTACAGCATTTCATTCCTTTTCATATTTTGCTTTTTAAAAGAAAAGTTCTTCAGCAACGAACAGAATCACACCCTGCCAGGCAGCGATATTTATGCCTGAAATAGGCTAAGGCAACAATAAAAATGTGGTCCACACATGTGGGTAACTTTCTGCCAGCAAATATGAAACCCTGGCGAGCTCCACCAACCTCTCATTTGACATTAATATAAAATAGACAGAGAGTACCAGTTCTCATGTCTGGCCTAATGTTATATAACTGTGCTGCTTGTTCAACAGAGTCAACTCTTACACCAAAAAAAAAGTTTAAAGCCCCCAGACAGCTGTAAATCATTATTCTAAAATGTTTTATAGGTTAGTGAAATTATCATTTACTCTGGTCCCTGTAGCCCTTAGCACCTGATGCCTAACTTAATGTAATGAACATTGCAGATTCTTATTTCTACAGATCTACTTAATTCCCCTGATACAGAAGGATTTGAAAAGATTATTTTTAATAAGTTACTTCTAGAAATAGTTGCACCTCACAGCCAGAGCAACAGATACACACACATCTCACTTCTAAAAAGAATACCAACTTGCAAGTACTGAAGAGTGATGACAGAGCAAAGTCCTCCCACCAAATACTGTTTAATTAAATAAAAGAAACTTAAGGAGGAGCTTAATAATACTCTTTGTAACTACAACACAACATTTTAAAGTAACTCAAAATTCACCCATTCAATATCTGATGCTAAATTGCAAGCTGACATTGTCCTGAAGGAAACATAGCAGACAGGGAGGCAAGGAGAACATGCTAAAGGAGTGGCAAAGAAGGGGGGAAGAACCAAAAAAAAAAAAGAAAACCAAAAAAAAACCCCAAAAAAAAAAAAAAAAAAAAAAAAAAAAAAAAAAAACCCCACAAAAAACCAAACCACACAAAGTCAGGCAGACAATAATTTAATAATTTGAATTATAAAAACATGATATGTAAGCTGTAGAACAGTCAGTAAAATTTAAAGCTGTTTCTCATGTACTTTAATGGATTCTTCTTTGGGACAATGAGGCAGTAAGAACAATTTCAAATAATGTTTGATGATTTTGGTGCAAGAGCTCAAGCATGCTCAAAAGCATTTCCCAACTCATCAGCCTCTTCAGAACTGGGATTCCCTTCCAAATATGAGAATTCTTTCACACAAAGAGGAAACAGATGTCCATGGCTGGAATTTGCATGTGGCTTTATTCTCTTCTAGGATACAATAAAACTACTCTTCTTCTCATCCTCCAAGCTAGAAATTAAACAGTGGCATGTCATGCATAGTCCAGCTGTGCTTTCTACCTCCAACCTTTATTAGCAATATATTTAAAAAGAAGAAGAAAAGAGAGAGACAGAAAGAAAGGGAGAAACTAGAAAAGCATAAGAAATGAAAAACTATGTGGTATGTGTTCTCAAAACAATATAAAACCTACAGATGTTCTTACTAATCTGTGGCACATGTTTGTTTATTCAGGTTTTCTCTGTCTCCAGTTCAGCGGGCTTTGCTCTCCGGAAGAGCTATCTGTTTTTACAAACGTTAGAGTAAATACTGAAGGAGATATTGGCATAAACAGCCAGACGAGGAAACAGGCTCACCTTGTAAGAGCTTTCTCAATGTCCCTGAAACTGTACCTCCGTCCCAGAAACCGCTCTCACCCATACCTCCGCTGTTCCCTACATTAACAGCAACAGGAGAAAAGCCAACAGTTATGAAGAGGATTTTGACAGTACTAATATCACAAGAG